CACACGGTTCTTAATGTAGTTGGACAAATTCATTTTTTGACAGCATCAATTTGTATATCCTCTACTTCTGTATATATGTATTGAATATATGTTGGTGTTGCCATTGAATTATAGTAACGTTGAGGTCCACTTATATGATTCTTAGATTGAAATTCAAAAAGACAATTGTCGTATTTCTCAACAAAGTTAATTGCTTGACTCAATGTTCGAGGATCAAGTAAGTTGAGCATTAATTTTTTTACCTCATATTGTAATCCATAGAGAAATTGGCTAACAAGTGCAACATCATCCCACTTGATATCAATTACAAGTTATCAAAATTATGAAGCATACAACGTTACTGATCGATTCTTTTGGTTGCAACACAAATTGCATCATATTCTCCATACATGGATCAAAAGTCCACTAAAAAAGCCTCTAGATTATCTAATATTAGAACTTGTCGTTCAAAAAAAGATGAAAACTATGATAATGCTAAACCTTAAAGAAGCGTACTAATGAATCTAACTTACGATCTTGGAATTGGATAGCTTTGGGATTGAAATTCAATCACAAGTTGTACTTGATTGATAAATCCTCTAAACTTTGATCTAGTGCCATCAAACTTCTTGGGTACAGCAATTTTAGATTCTCTAATATTGGAAGGGCGTTCTACCATAGGAGAAGGGACATAATTTGGTGCAGATGTTGAAGCACCTCCAATCATTTCTATATCTTCACTTCCTGCCAATCTTGTTGCTCCTTGTGGTGGTAAATTGAGTTGATGCATTACAAGCATTAACTCTCTCAATTGCTCTTGCATTTGTACCATTGCACTCTTCATTTCACCAAGTTCTTCCATGATAACACTTAAAAAAGAGAAGATGTCTAATATCGCTAAAGACAAATAGAAGAGAGGACTTGAGAACAAAGAAACTACTAAAGACAATATCAGTTTAGAAGAGGGTAATCCACAACTTCTAGTATGCTTATATCTTATCAAGAAAAAAGAATAATCCACTCTTAATCAAGATTAAACAAAGTTCTTATATTGTAAGTGTACTCTTGTCAACTTGTCAAAGACAAGTGCTTAATAAAAAAATAAATAAACAAGTGAGACTTTTTTCAAAGAAAGATGACAAAATAGAAATAACTCAATATGTATATTAAAAAAGAAATCGGAATGACTATTGCTAAAAATCAAGAAAACTAGAGACCCTTGAAACTAGACTAGAAGTAAGAAAGGAGTTGATAAGAGTGAAGATGGCTTCACTCTTGTCTCTATAGATACTATCTAACTAGGGGCTACGTGGTGATTTTCTATAGGACCTCCAATATATGTTGACTTTGTAGGACACATGCCTTGACTTACAAGGCAAGTTTTTCTACGTGTGGACCACATAGTTATCTTGGTCTTTAAGCTAACAACATATGTGGCACATGGCCAACTTGTTGACCATGTTTCTAATCCAAAAAGTCAATTAAAGACACCTATAAAGTCAAAGTAGAGTCTATGAAGCTTCTATAAATCTTTTATAGTAAATATTATAGAATTAACTTACTTTTACCTATTTTTACTTACTTCTACATATTTATACATGTAATTATTGGCTCACATGCATATGTCCATGACATCCTATATGACCTTCAAAACGTATTAACTTTGCAAGACACATATTTTAACTTGCAAAGTAAGTTTTCTATATGTGCGCCATATAGTTAACTTATTTTATAAGATACCAATATGTGGATAACTTGTTGACTAAGTTTCTAACCTACCAATCAACTACAAATACATATAAAGTCAAAGTAGCGTCTATGAAGCTTCTAGGAAGCTTTTATAAAAGATATTATGAAATTAAGCTATTTTTATTTATATTTACCTACTTCTACCTAATTATATAGGTATTTATTAGGATACACATGTATATGTGTGACATTATTTGATATTTGATATTTTAGCGATTTGAAATGAAAAAATGATCAATAAAAACCAACTATTAAGAAGAATTTAATTTAATTAACTTCTAAAAAACTATCAAAGATTTTAAAAACATCATTAATAAGTAAAAATTATATTTAAAATAAACATAATATTATATTATAAAATCAACTATATTCTAAATCAATTATTTTTTAAATAATTAAAAATTAAAAATATTAATAGAATATCATTAATAAAAAATTTTAAGATTTTTTTGAAAATAGTCTTATATGTATTTTTTATTAGATATTATTTTGATAACGTTTTAAAATAAAAATTTGAAATGATTTGCTTTAAATTATTAAATGCATTAGAAATCATATTTTGCCTATGTTTGAAGCCAAATGTTTGAATTTAAAATAAATCAATTAATAAAATAATTTTTTTTCAAATTATTTTAAATATAAGATATATTAAATATCTATTCTAACTTAAATATTTTGAGATAAATTATAAAATAAACCTAGATTAGAAAAATAGAAATTATATTAAAATATTTTTAAATTTTAAATATAAATAATGTATATATATATATATATATATATATATTAATTTTATCTATAATATTAAATATTCAATAAATTATGATTTATTTAGATATATTTTTCAAAAAATTATATGATTTCATACAATTAAGAAATAATATTGTCAATCAAGAATAAAGGACAAAAACATCTCGATCCAAGATTAAGTTATAAAAAAACTTTGTTTCAGTATATTAAGTTTTAAATAGTAATTACAAACTATCTATATTGAATAGTTGAAAAAAGCCAAGATCAAGAAACTTCAGTTAAACAATCCAATTAAAACAAGATTATTATGTAAAGAATTAGAATTTTTAAAAATATATTTCAATAAAATTTTAAAATTTTAAAATAAAATTTTGTATCAATATATATATATATATATATATATATATTTAATGATATTACATTATTTTTATGTATTATTTTTTTAATTAAAAAATCATCTATAAATTTAATTTTAAAATTAGAAATAATATTTCTAAAAATATTTATATATATTATCTTCTATTGCATGAATAATATAATTAATTATACCTCATTAGATATTTCCAAATTTCTTTCGAACAACAACTTCAAGGAATCAAGTCAATATTAATTGTTTTATATTTTTTGTAATGTATATGCATTATATAAACTAAAATATTAAATTATTATTTTTATTATAAATTAAATCTTAAAAAAATACTATATATATATATATATATATATATATATATCCCTCAAATACACTAAAATATCAAGAATACTTATATATTCTTAATTATAGCAAATATATATTTTTAATTTGTGATAATAGAAAATATACCTTGGTTGGTGATAAGATATCACCAACATTCATTTTTTAGTTGTCATCTAGGGCCAAAACCATAGGCCACGTAAATTTTGTCATACTTCTTTTTGGCTTTTTGAGAATGACAAAAAAAATTGTTTGTTTTTTCTTCTCTTGCATTGCAGACCAAGCCTTGCATTGTAGATTTATCTTTACAAAGAAGAATTGATTAATGAAAAAGACAACACAAATACAACCAAGCACCAACCACCCATTATTCATATAATGACAATCCCAATTCTTGTCAATACAATATTAGTTGGATTTTTTTTAAAAAAATCACCATTTTTGTCAATATTTTCATTAAATACATGAAAGACATATCTACAATTCTCTACAATGATGCAACAAATCATTTCAAATGAATCTGAGAATAAAATCTCTTTAATACTCCAAATCTACATTCCTACAATGGAATAATGGTACATCTATTTGAATTTATTACTTAAGATTATGTCTATAAACGATGATAGCAATATTATCTTTCAACTAAAAAATGATCATCATTTGAAGAATACATTTCAGCAATTAAAACATCTCTCAATTCATAATTACAAATATTTCAAAGAAAAATGCTTACTTGTGAAGAATCCATTTCCATTCTAAATTCTCAAGTTTTGATTAAATGAGGTGAAAATATGTTCCTTTGCTTGGAATTGTAGGCAGAGGAGCATTTTGATGTTAAATGACAATAGGATTCTAAATTAGAAGCCAAAATATTGAGAAGACTCCTTTGCCATATGACTAGGAATTTGAAATTGGTAACCCAGTTTTCATATTATTGTTGTCATTCTCTCTTGTAATCTACAATAATCAAGTCGTGTGTGGTAGATATGGGCCATCTTTGTAGTTATAATGACAACTACCAAATCTGAAATCCAATTTTGTATTGCCCAAAGTGCTAGATCTTGTATGATTCTTTTGCTTACATCTTTGTTCTTAGTACTATGGCATTGCAAAAAATCGACTTCAATTAATTTAATCTTTGATATGGTGGCTCTCATGGAAATTTTACAACAATAAAGATTGCAATGTGCAAATCTTGAGATGTGGAGGGAGATAAGAAACTTGCTTTCTTTGCATATCACTTGGACATATAGATGAAGGCTTGAAGTGAATGATTGTGTATCAATTGACAAATACAAAGCAACTACAATGCAAAGCACAGTCTACAAATCCACAAAAGAAAAAGGAAGTAAAATTTTGGCAATGCTTGAAAAGCCAAAAAGAGGTGTAGCAAAAATCTGCATGGCTTATGATCTAGACCTTAGATGGCTACTAAACAAAGAATGTTGGTGATAACTTATCACCAATAAGGATGCATTTATCTAGTATTACAAATTTGATGGATTTTCTTGATATTTCAGCATATTTGAGGAATGTATGTGATGTTTTCTCTTAAATCTAATTCATAGTCTACTTGAATAGAAATTGGAATGGAAGTTTGATCTTTCTAGAACTCCTGAAAAAATTAACCATTTAAACAACTTTTGTTTACATAATATAATGACAAACCCTTTGAGGAAATTACAAGTTACATTTCTTTGTACACAATATGCATACACAATAATTGAACAATATTTGAAACCAGTTCATAATTTTTTATATTTTTATTTAAAATTGATTATTAAACCTAAATTAAAACAACTTCATATGAACATTACAATCGTACAAAATGGAGGAAGCAATTTTGTGACAATGACATTATCTCTTTATTCAACAAATAGTATGCTGTAGTTTCAAAATCAAAATTTTGAATTTTGTTTCGGGTAACGTAACAGATGTAACACGCTGTTAACAAACTTAAAACTAGGAATAGAATACTGCAACTCATCACAGGAGGTTTCTGATTTTTGAAAGTGAATCTATTTTTTACAAAACTGTTTGAACTTGCATAATGCTAAAGATTGCTCTACAGTAGAGTGATATGGATCCTTCAAGTTTGTTCCTTGGCAACTAGAATCGGCTCATATTGTTAGCTTACTTTTGTATAAAAAATGAAGAATTCGACGAACAGAGCTCTTAAGAAAGGTGGAGTGAATTTGACAAAGGGATTCCACCACTCACCAGATGCTAGAATACTGTGCGATGATCGCACTGATTTTCTCAAATTTCATGATATATAGTGTGCTTGCTGCAACAGAAGAGATTCATGCGCTATGTCGTGCTGATCTGCTCCTCAGCTTCAGAGTTGAATGTGAGTATTCCATTGCAACTAAGCAAAGCATCGATGTTCACATCGGTCGGATCCACTGGTACAGGGTCATCTCGTATCTGGGGACTATATGCAAGTGCTACTGCAATTCTCACAACAAAAAAAGTAAGAAATATTATACATATCACAGTTACTCTCTAAATGAAAACGGGATGCGACTTCTGAAAAATTTCCCTGCAGCACAAAAGTTGAGTTTTCACGTTTTGAGAATTCCAATTTAATCAAAATCTCTACGGAAAGTATGAGCCGAGATGCCTTGAAAGCAACTTGTGGGGAATATTTTTGAGGCCTTTCCTCTTGAAAATCGAATCAAAGAATGTTAAATAACTCTCCTTAACGAATTTACTTGTATTCGTGCAACAGGTTTCTTGTTAAGCTTGAACTCACCTAGTAACGGTGACTTCCATCCTTTGTCCTTGGCTAGAAGCAGATAGTTCTGAAGAAAAACGTCATAGTACCTGAAGTTTGGTTACCAGCCGACATGGTGTGAATCTCCTCCATCAGAAATGGGCATTCCTGTTAAGTAAACGGTCTTTTATATCTACTCGTGCATTTAGGTGTAATCAAGATGCTGGTATACATGGAAAACTTACCCACCGCCACGTCCAAGTCGGCCTCCCTTTCGATCAAATGCCAACCCTATTCAATCCATGACGAATGTTCCCCCAATCACCAATCTGATAATCTGAAATAACAACCTAATGAATCTAGTGTTCGGCGATACGAGTCATATGAAGATACGCCTTAACAATCAAACAAAAACACGAGCATACTGAAGTTGCACAGCAGAAGTAAGAAATGTGCCTGGAAGTAGGAGCAAGTCGAGAGGCTCATTCGCCTGCATCACTGTAGCATCTCAACACCCAAACTGAGAATTAGTTATGCAATGAAACAAAATGTGCATCGCAGGTGTTCACAAAAACAATACGCATCACTGGAAGAGCATTTGGATATTACATTCTTTCTTTATAATGTAAATTTATTACCAAAAAGAAGTTGCAAACTTGCTTGTGTTGGATACTCCATCTTTCATGAAAACAAGTTATTTCATGTTAGGCATGAAGTAACATATAATTCGTTGGGAAGAATCAAGTTTTCACTGTGCTGTACCAAATAGCTCATCAACAGAGAAAGATCTATAGTTCTTAGAATACGTTCTCAACGTTGGTGCGCACTCAGAGATGCTTAGAGTACCTTCATCTCGAGGGTTTCCTGAGGAATCCAAAGGCGTAGGCTCCAGAATGTTCATGTGATTCAGGATCAGATCATCATCCATGTTGGTGATGTGCAGCATCCGCATTTGACTTTCCATGTCCTCAACTCGTGGCACATAAACTTTCGTATCTTGCATATGAAAATAAAAATAACCATCAGAATGGATTCGTCTAATCAGCTACACCTGCTTCGGATACTCTCAGCATCGAAACGACCTGGATTTAGAGAAAAGATCGTCATTCACAATGGTTTAAAAAATTAGACTGTGACGGCATATCTGCTGAAACTTTCTACGTACCCATTCCTCAATACATAGAGACGTGAATATTTTGAATCTTTTCAAATGCTTGAAATCCTAGAATCCAGCGAGTATCCTCACCTGCGTATTGCCGTTGCTTTCCCAAAAGGTCGGACAAAATATGTGACGTGACCACTTCTCGAAGACTTGCACAGCTCACGTAGGCGCAAATCCTCTTGCTGTTCTGGTACCATTCCGCAGAAAATAAATGCTTCTGAATTGCTTCATCTGTCATTTACCAATTCAATCAGCTTGCATTTACGTATAAGTGCCAATTTAGGGACACCTGCGCCACTTCTTCAAACCCCAACAATCCGCTCTACAATCTGTTCACCGCCAAAGTTCAGAATACAGAGAACTCATCTCCAAGGAACTATTCAAGCCTCCAGCACGACAAAGACCCAACAAAAAAATTAAGAAATACGCACAAAACGAGAGAGGGGTGATCCAGAGCCGCTCGCTAACCTTCCTGAACCCTGACCTCGGGCGAGAATTTGCGAAGCTCCCGACGCACGATGGTCCTGAGGGCTGTTTTCTGCAAGCGCACGATCTCCATCGACGAGCCTGCGGGGCTGCTCAGCGTGGCCATGGGGATCATCAGCCTCCGCCCCACCTGCTGCTTCTTTCTCGCTGCTGCTGCTGCTGCAACAACAACAACAACTATGCCCTGCCCACCCACAATCCTCCCGTAGTGCTCTACATCTCTCCTCCAACTCTCATCACACTCTGCCAATTTCGTTTGCTTCTGGAGGGACTGATGAGGTCGAATCTTCCGTGGAATCGCCTCGCCTCACTCGATCTCTCTCGTTTTAGAAAAAACCTCCCCACACGGAGCTCCTACTGAGGTCGGGAACTTTTGAAAATTTCTCACCACCCCCCCCCCCCCCCCCCCCAAAGGTGATTTCCAAGGTAAACTTGGGGGGGGGGGGGGGGGGGAGAAATGATACACTGTAGCTTATAAAAGAATATCATTAGTTTGTATCAAACCACATTCCAGAATTGTTTTTCTGTTTTTTTATTTACTATTTATTTTTATTGTTCGAAAGGGAAACTATTTCCAGAAATTACGTATATGCTTGTGATCAAATTCGTAATTTTGTACTTGAATTTTAAAAGGGATAATTGAAATGGATTGTGCACAATATTGTGTGGTTAGTGACAGTGAATATCTATCATTGTGCACCAAATAATCAAATATCATTATGCAGCAAATATATTTAAAAACATGTTAACAACTTCATTGTTACCTTCGTGTTAACAACTTTATTGGTAACATGATCAAACACAATGCACCCACGGCATTCAACAAATTGCCGATTGCACGTGTTAATATCTAATAACAAAGTAACCACCATCTTGGCAACGTTGTCAATCAACCCCATGGATAAGACGTTGTGATGACCACAACACACAACCAACTTTCTCACGAAATAAAAACTGCATTTCTATTGAACAAATTTCCCATGCGCTGTGTCGGTGATCACCTAGCGTCAGTACGATGTAGGTATTCATTGAGAGTCGGTGGGGTGCATGCTTTACTTCAGTACGCGCTGTGTGTGTATCACAATGCAGCGATGGCTCGCGCGATGAGCAACGAACAGATCACTTGATTGAACCTGGCTACGAGACGGAAGAGAATCTGAGTACTAGAGACATCGGACAGCGTATCCAGGATGATTTCGAAAACGTTGTTGCGTTCTGCAAAGTTACAAGTGTTGCAATCGCTGGAAATGAGATTGAGTTCAGTCAATCATATTGCTCCCCCTGGTGTGCTTTTCACGAGGATGTACTGATAAAGCGTAAGGAAGTCATGAGGACTACTGAGAAGCTGGGGTTTGGATGTTGAAAGCGACTTCGGACCAGATTTGTCTGCTGAAGAAACCATTGCTTCTTCTTAAGTATTCTAGGTGCTGGGGTTCAGTCCATGCCTGTGAACTCCGTTTTATTCCCCTTGTCAAAGCTGCAATTTAATGACGAGCATGGTACCTTTCAAGCTCAAGAGGTACCTTGATGACGCAAGATGGCATAGAGCCTCGGCACATTCCACAGCGAATCGAATCCGCATGCTTGCAGAAAGGATAGTCGCTCATGGTCGTATCGATGTTCGGATTACTTGCAATTAGAGCAACAATGCTGAGACATCACTGCTGACCGGAGAGGTTGAACTTTCTCCGATGTCCTTCCTGAGGAGTTAAATTCTTGGTGAAAAGCAATCCTGGCTGAGAGTTCCAAGCTCACCGATCGGTGCGTGTACTAAGAAGATTATCTAAATCCCTGCGTGGCTATTGTCTTATTTGTCTCTTTTCCGCCTTCGTCATATTACGATGTTTATTGACGATCAGAATCCAAACAACCTGCAATGAGCTGCTGCATAGTGTGGTATCCGAAGCAGCACCATCTCACCTCCGACCAAACTTGCAGATGTGCGTCCAGAATTTGGAGATCTCCAGCTTATTCTAGTTGGAAACTTTTACATCTTCGAGATGTGGTCTCAAAAGTCGGGGTTGTGAACAACTTCAAAACTTGAGCAAGGTAGTGGAGGCCTGCAAGATGAGTAAACTTGAGGGGAGGTTCAACTGCACGGTGACTAGAGTGGAGAAGCGGGACATTGTACAAGTTGAAGAAGCGGTGGAGAAAACCCCGGCTTGTGTCAGTCACATCTTGCACGTCCCATATTGGTGTAAGAAGCTGGGCTTAAAATAATCTTCTGAGAACACATGTACTCAAAAGGTTATCGTAAGGCGTGTTCTCAGAAGATTATCCTAAGCCTTAGCTCGACGTGATCAAATATCTAATTCACTAAGCATTTCTGCAGCTAATAGGGGTCGACACGGCGATACTGGTCTACATGGAGAGCAACACAAATCATGAAAAGGCTCGATGCTCACCAGCGTTGTACATCGTGGGCGTGACGGGGGCGGACTTTTGTAGGAGCTGGATCCTCTACGTGGCTGTGGAGGGCATCTCGGTTTATGACAATCGCAAGTCTGGCATCTTGAGCTTGGTTCAGGTGAACTACGCCTGCCAGGGGACCTTGGCCTTGTGCTCGGCGAAGGACATCTTGAGCTTGGTTCAGGTGAACCACGCCTGCCACCGCCTGCAGGGGACCCTGGCCTTGTACTCGGCGAAGGACATCTAGACCTTGAAGCATTGGAAATGAAGGGCGTCTCCACGATGTAGTGCGGATTGCAGTTGGGTGGGCCTTTGCAGCTGTGGGGTGATCTGCACTCTAAGCATTGACCTTGGCTCAAAGATGGCTTGATACGGCTCTTGCAGGGAGTTACAAACTCTGGCTGGCATCTTGTCAGGACACCCTTTAGTTGACGCACACCTTGGGAAGGACTCCTTCGACCCAAATGGCAAACGCAGTCTCGGCATGGGCTGACCTTTGTCGACGAAGGGCATAGGCTGCGTGTACTCAAGTCCTTGTGACAAAGACATTCTTGACAATCAACGTAGCGATTGCCTGTAGGAGGGGCAGGGACCTCATCTATGTAAACTGCGCTAGGCTGTCTTGCTGTATGACAAAATGGTTTCGGTGGGCAAATAGGGGAAGATGAAGGCGAACCACATGGAGAAGTGAAACAACTAGGTGACTTCTTTATGTAAGACGGGTAGCTGTAGTCGGTTGAAGCTGGCGGAGGACAGGGCGCCAATTGCTTTATATACGATGGGCAGGAGCAAACAATTTTGGGCCCGCATGGAGACACAGATCTTACATGACAGGGGCTACACGGAGGAGGACAGGGATTGCAGGGATCCTGGTAAGCACCACAGCGGCTTGTAGGGAAGGCAGGAGTGCATGGTCTTGAAGGTGGCAAATAGATGTCTGCAAAGGCGGGGTCCGAACCATACAAGCGCAAGTCACAAGGGCAACAGTCTGTGGGCGAACAACTTTGGTCAGGACATCTTGAAGCTGGATTGGTTGGCCCACATGGAGGCAGGTAGAGGTCGTCATGTTCAACGAACCGTCGGTACCCAGCTGGAAGATGATCTTCCTGACAGTCTTCGAAATCACGACTCATATATCTCTGGTGCAAGCCATGTAAACAAAAGATGTCTGGCTTTTCCACTGAAGGGCATACATAGCAATTGCAACCGTTGCCACCTGCAATTCGTGCTGCTGGCTGTGAAGCGATATTTTTCGCATGGGTAGACCGCAACTTTGGTTTAGAAGGAACCTGAGTGCTCACGTCTGAACAATTGGTTCTCGTTGACGTATGGCTGTTAAATTTCACACACTTGGTAGTTCGATGTACTTCAGCACTTTCGGAAGGGACCTGAGCGCCAGCGTCCCGACGCATTGGTCTCGGCGGCGAACATTGCAGTAACCTAGGGTCATTACTGGCATCCCATCTTCGCCTCAGGCCCGTTCGTCTGTCGTGATATCTATTGTTTTCTGGTCTAACTCCGTCTTTTACATCTTCAGTTGGCTTCAACATTCTCCTTTCAGAATAAGATTCCCCTTGGTTTGTGGACCGAACCTTTGTTGCAGTCTATCGGGTAGGACCATGCCCAGTAGATTCACAGACGTTAAGTGAGCCTTCTACTTGTCACTCCATGGTTTTAGCTACAGTGATTCGGTATCATTTTGTGATGATTCCCATCAGAACGTTGCTGTCATTCCAGGTGTTGCCGTCGTCAAGATCTTGGCTTTTAAATGGACCTTTGTGAAGATTGTTGTCTTCCTACAAAGGACACTCCAGCGACACTTTTTATTATCTGATAGCATATTGTGATTCTGGATTCTGATTTCCCTAATGCTTTCAATCTTGAAAGAGTTACTCATCCTGAATAACGCAATCGACCAATTTAGATCGAGGGAAGCCGAGTTCTCTCACCAAGTAACCACTGTTGCATGAAAAACATGTCACGGTCGGCAGGAAATGATAATCTCGGAGAGTTTTCTAACAATTATGAAACCTATCGAAAAGCCACTTGGAGGCAAAGTCACAACCTAATGAAGAGGGGTGTAGGGGATGGGGAAGAGATGTCGGCCAAGAGACACGGTTCGCCTTGACGAGATTCTCATAGCTGCGGTTACGAAACCTTCGGAGCCCAGCAGCGCTGTCAGCTGTTGGGACCACACAACATCAAGCAACATCAAACAGCCAAGCTCGAAATTCCGTTGGGACAACTCGAACCTGACAACTTCGACATGGACGCACACATCCAGCACGACTGTCATCACCGCAAGCGAGGCTGACTCCTGCATTGCGGAATCCTAAATTATCGTTTCTGGACGCAAACATTCTTTTAGGGCTTTGTTGGGGAGGGGATATTAGATGTCCAATTGTGAATGGAATAATTAAAACAATTAAAACAAATACATACAAAGAGCAAAGTAAATAAAATAAATTGCAACTACATAAACCTTGTAGTTTTGTTTTGTGATTCATTTAAATTTTATAAATTTATGTAATTAACTATATATATTTTTTATTAAAATCTTTAAATTTAAAAAAACTATAGATTTTTTTGAATATAATATCTCAATCATCATAAAATATTGTACATATTTCATTTAATAATATATATATATATATATATATATATATGTTAAATTAACCCGACTTGGTATTATTTTGATCCCACCATCATAATTAGTAGTTGATTCATGTCCCATATACTTATCTCTCCTCCTTTATTCTTGTTTTCAACCTCATCTCTTGTACTAATCTCCCATCTTTCATTCCCGTTTTCAATCTTATCTCCCATTTCCATTTCCAGCCTGTATCCTTTATTAGACCTTTTTAAATGATAAATTATGTATGTAAGTTTCTTCCAACGCTATTTGTTAACAAAGAAGTGATTGATAAGATATCCAATCTTTTCAAGATAGTTGGTTATCAATATCTTCATCTAAAGTATCACACTTCTCTTGCAACTACATCTCTCATTGGAATTGTCTAATATCCTTTATAGTGGATAAATCTAAGACTTAAATCTGCTATGTTTGTAATTCATCAAACATAAAGACTATATGTCAATAGCTTGATATTAGATAAGCCTAGCACCTTCTAATCTTATTGACTTTCATATGAGATTGAACTTAATTTCTACTCAAGAGGTACTTCTAATCCTCATTTAGTCTATTGTACTCAAGGTACATTGTCTATGTCCTTTTGTATGAAGCAATGTGACTTCTTGCAAGCTCTTGCTTGAATTAGTATATATAATAGCAAATGATTTTTAAATAATGCAAGAATTACAAATTTTTTTTATGTACGTTTATGTTTTTTACTTAAGATTGTTAGGATTCCAAATTTAGATAATAAATTCACACAATATATAAGCATCTTTATTCTATATATTCCTTTAAAACTATAAATTTTTATCAAAAGCATTGCATCCAACTTGACATTTATAGCTTCTCTCAACATGCTTGTCTAAGTATTGAATGCAAATTTTTGTCAAATATGATGCATGTAATATACTAATAACCAACATCCTTACAAAAAATTCACACATAATTTTTTGTTTGAGGAAGTCAAGATAGAAGACAAAAGAAGAGAAGAAAAGAAAGAAAGAAAGAAAGAAAGAAAGAAAGAAAGTAACATTGAAGTAACATTGAAGTATACATGTATAATTCTTATATTAAAATTCAAAAATTTGATTGTCATACTTCATAGCAAAGTAAATTGCTTGACATAATATTTGAAGATCAAGTAAATTGAGCATCAATTTTTTTACCTCATATTCTAATCCGTAGAAAAATTGGCTAACAAGTTCTACATCATCCTACTTGATATCAATTGCAAGTTGTCAAGGTTGTGAAGCATATAACATTATCAATTAATTGCCTTGTTGCAAAATACAAATCTTATTGGTTGCAATATGAATCGCATCATATTTTCTATATATGGATCAAAATTCGATCAAAAAAGCCTCTAAATTATTTAATATTAGATCTTGTTGTTTAAGAAAAGATAAAAACTTTGATAAAGCTGAACTTGAAATGACTATATGAATAAATCTAACTTGAGATCTTGGAGTTTGATAGCTTTAGGATTGAAGTTCAATCACAAGTTGTACTTGATTAATAAATCTTCAAAACTTGGATTTTCTACCATCAAACTTCTCAAGCAATGCTATCCTTAGTTTTTTAAGGATATTCTATTATAAGAAAAGAGACATGATTTGATATAGATATTGAAGCAATTCCAATTATTTTTATATCTATAATTTGTACCATTCTTATTACTCTTTGTGGTAGTAAATTACAGTAAAGTATTACAAGTATTATCATCTTCAATTGTTCTTGCATTTGTACAATTATATTCTTTATTTCAAGAATCTTTGCTATGATAAAACTTAAAGAATGAAAGTTGTTTAATGTTTCTTTAGTAAAATAGAAAATAAAGACTTGAAAACAAATAAAAAATACTAAGCACAATATCAATTTAGAAGAGGATAATCTACAATTTCAAATACACATAAGTTTTATCAAAAGAAAGTTGTAATCCACTCTTAATTAAGAAAAGATAAAGCTTAGATATAATAAGTATACTTTTATTAATTTGTCAAAGACAAGAATTCAATCAAAGCAAAAAAAACAAGTGAGATAAACTTCTCATGCATATTAATCCTTATCCTTGTCATATTTGTAGAAGCAAAAAAATTTGGATTTGATTGTGAGGTCAATCTATTTGCTTCATTCAACTACATAATTTCTTAATATAGACTTTGAACTTCTTTTATAGGCATAAAAATAGTATCTCTATGATTTATATTAAAAATATATAAAAATTTTATTCTTATAGTGTTGATAAAGCTCATGAAGATCTACTATATTTATAAATCTATTTTTACTTTTGCTAAGAGTAGCATTCATAATCTTTTGTTTCATAGACAATTCAAAAAAATTCAAAAGTTAAATTAGAAGACAATAATCCATAATCTCTAATATCAAATAAAAAATTTTAAAAAGAAGAATAATCTACTCTCTTTAAGGAAAAAATCTATGTTAAAAAATAAGATTATTTATTTAAAGGTAGATAGTCCAAAATCTTCAAAAAAACAACAATAAAAATTGAATAATCTACCTACTTCTAAAACAAGATTGAAACAATAAGTTAGCATTCTTGTTAAATTATCAAAGACACAAAGCTCAAAGAAAGAAATCTTCAATACACTCTTTTGTTACTCAAAAGAATTAAAAAGTCATTCAAAGATAATATAATATTAAATTAGAATGATTGTTGCCAAAAACAAGAAAATTAGAAAGTCTTGAAACAAGACTACGAACTAAAAAGATATTGACAAGACTAAAGAAGGCTTCATTCTTGCCTCCATATATACTTTAAACTAGGAACTACGAAGCAATTTTCTATAGGACCTCAAAAATATGTTGACTTTACAAGAAATATATTTTAATTCATAAGGCAAGTTTTCTATATGTGCTCCACATAATTAACTTATTTTGCAAGCTACTAATATGTAGTTAATTTTTTGACCAAGTTTCTAACCAATTAATTAACTACAAATACATATAAAGTCAAAGCAACATCTATGAAGCTTCTAGAAAGCTACTCTAGAAAATATTATGAAATAAATCTACTTTTATCTATTTCTATTTAATCATATGAATAAATATTAGAATAAATATGTATATCTATGATAGCTACTCAATTCCAAAATCTTGCTTATGATGTAGATTAGAATAACAAAGGCCTTATCAATCAATTTTAATATAGATTCAAGGATAACGTCAAAGATTTATTATTGACAATATCAAAAGAAAATTCTTTTGAATAATTTATTATTCAAGCTATTACATACAATAATCAATTATTTGAAAGGCATCAAAAATAAAGATTTGGCTGAAGAGAATTAAATCAAGTAATGATGGCAACTCCCAAGTTTTCAAAAACTTATTTATCAAAGCCAAAATCAATGTAAATTGATACAATATATTTTAAATTTCTTATAGAGTAGGAAAAGACTTGAAGTTATTAAGAGGGTTTATGCTTATACTATGGAGAAGCTAAATATACTACTTAATATTGTCCAAAGAAGCAACTCAATCATAAAATGAAATACACGGTTGCTAAAGAAGATAATGTATTGGAAACTAAGTTTGTTCAGCTTTAATAAAGATTATACAGTTGGAATCATGTGCAACACCTAGTAAAGGTCCTATTTTCTTTTCAAATCCTTTACCTTGTTTTATAATAGATGTATATTTTAGATCTAAAAATTACAATTTTTTTACCTTATTAAATTTAAGAACCTCAACTTATTTTATAAACAAAGACTTTATCAAAAAATAAGAGATATCATTAGTAAAGAAATCTAAATCCATACATATAGAAATCATAGATGGTTTTTTGTTATCTTCTAGAAATGTTATCTATAAGACTGTTCTTTTAAATGTAAAAATTAAAGTTTATAATAGCATAATAATATTTAATGTGATAAGATTTCTATTTAATCTAATTATTTTAGGATTATCGTAATTAAAAAAATATAATCTTCAAATAGATTAGATTTTTTGTAATCTTAATTTTTTTGATAGTTTAATTTAAAATCTAATTAGATAAGTAAAAATACATAAGTCTAGTACATCCAAGTCTTTATTAATAGATACAAGAACTTTCATACATGCAATAAAAGAAGAATCATCTTTTATCATGCCTATTTTTTATGATAAAAAGACATCAAGTGGTATTTCTAGCTAGTATTAAGATTTTTAGAATATTTTTAAAAATAATAAAAAAAAAAATCTTCTAAATTATTGATCCTATGATTGTTCAATTGATTTGCAAGAAAGAATTCAACCACCATTCAGAGTGATCTATAGCTTATCACAAAATGAGTTGGCTACACTTAACAAGTACATTTATAAGAATTTTGTTAAGAACTTCATATGCCATTCAAAATTTCTAATACAAGGTCATATCCAATTTGTAAAGAAAGATGATAGA